CCGTTCTTTTGCGTTCATCCGTCTGTTTTGGCGTGACGCTGTCTGAGTGGCCAAGCTAAACATTAAATACAACGTTGGATGTCATAATCAAAAATATATAAATATCATCTGACCCCTAGTTACAAAATGAGGCACCGATTTTGCTCAACTCGCATCCGCTCGCATCCGTTGGCTCGATTTGCCCTTTACAGAATGGTGGGGACTGGGGGTGGCTATACTCGCACTATCCTAGGATCCCTAGGAAGTAACCTGCAACAGCCCGGCCAACCCGAGTCGCGACTGATGTTAAATTTGTTCACGGTGGCATCAATAAAGTGCACTTATCAGACTGCATTGGAACTTGATGCATTCAATATACACTCTTATTTGAGATATCCTAGGCTATGAAAATTATTCTGTGATTTTTTGATTCCATCCAGTTTGTAGGGGCTATAGTTGAGTATTGTCCATTTACGCTTTGAATCCATCCAATTTGTAGTGGTTATTGATTAGCCCTCCAGACTCCGACAGAATGGCCGGGACTGGAGGGTAACAAACTCGCACTTCCAATGCAAAATTCCGGTACGAGGGGGGGTCCACTTACAAGATGGCAGAACCCAGGGTCAAAATTTTGCACAAAATGGTAGCCAAAAACCATTCTGTAACGGCCCTGAGGCCTCAGATTTAGTAACAAAAATTTCAACGGGTATCAATTTGTAGTGATTATTGATTAGCCCTCCAGACTCCGACAGAATGGCCGGGACTGGAGGGTAACAAACTCGCACTTCCAATGCAAAATTCCGGTACCCGGGGGGGGTCCACTTACAAGATGGCAGAACCCAGGGTCAAAATTTTGCACAAAATGGTAGCCAAAAACCATTCTGTAACGGCCCTGAGGCCTCAGATTTAGTAACAAAAATTTCAACGGGTACTTAATTTCGGTTCGCGGTGTGCATCGCTGGTTCGAACAATAACAATCGGCCCAGATTTGTTCCCTTTTACATCATTTCACGATCTATATGAAAACTTGTCCAGGAATTTTACTTCAATGCCTTCTCGCGCCAGCGGGCGTCCACAACAAAAACGGGATGATATGTTGCGCAAATTTTGTGAACACAATTATGGTGAGTTAGTAAGTTGTTTTGGTTTCATCGTGCTCCTGAACATGTGAAATAGTTTCCTTCGGAAACACAATTTACACAATTGTGTCGAAACAATTTTCGTTACAAGTTGCACGCCGTGGTCACTAACTCGGACGAGCGAAATAAAGAAAGAGAAACATAGCATAGCACCCAACCAGCACCGAAACAACGCCACAGCGCGACGGACCAGATTCAAAGGTTCAGAAACTGATGCCTTCGCCATTCCCAAGCTGGTTGCCCGGATGTGGTTCGCTCCGCATGGGGGACGCCCGTTGGCATGGCAATGCTTTGAAGATGCCCATTTGCATCGGTGTCACCACCATCAGCACCGTCCACAGGCAACGACTCCAGTGCGCCAGTCTCAACATTGCTGGATTCGAGGCGAAACATCCCCGTGGTCCAATTTCGAGGCAAGGCAACAAATCAAACCCTTTCCCACCTCACAGTTTGACGTGCATTCAAGTCTTGCCGTGGGATATTGGTTGGTAATAGTTAGGCATAGTTAGATGTGGACTGCATGTTTTCTGTGGAAGGAGTTGGCGGGCAGCATTTGGATTTTGATTCCCGTTGGCGGGCTACATCTCCAGTTTTTATCTTCATTGTACCAAGCATTGTGTGACAAACATGGTTCGATGGATTTTCGCCTGACGTGTTTGGCTAGTTTGACAAGTTCTTCCTTGTTTCGGCACAAGGCACTACAAACTTTATCAAATGATTCAACAATTATGAAATGGAAACACGTCGGCTGGTCCGGCGTGTCGTGGGACTGCAGCCTGGCAGTGACTTAAGCAAACCTTGGCATAATTTGTTTTATGATCGGAACGAGCGTGTGGCAACAATGATGCGGCGTTCAAACTTACAAATTCGGTCACAAGAGTTTGACATCCCCGCAAATATTGCGTAGTTCGGGACGTAAGCCTTAATCTCATACAACGAAATTGTTTTATATCGTTTTTACACCTGCTTTGTCGCACATCCCCCATCTCTCAGAAAATGCTCTACCGAATCCGCCCTTCCTATCTCTAGCAACTCGATGCCCACAGGGCCTGCCATCTCCATGAAACCTACAATTTGATACAATTTGTTGTTTTGCCTGGTAAGAGCGAATTATTGCTGAACCATCGCATCTTTTGCCCGCAATGGTCTCTGAGGCGGAACATATCTATCACTCTGGTTGCCCCCCTGATTTTGTGGAAACTTCACGCTGTGTTCTCTGAAACCCCGGCTTGAATACCGAACCACTTGCATCGTTTGCCGAAAACGGATGTGGTGGAGTGTGTCTTGGCGTCGGTCTTGGTATGCTCGCGGGCACCTCTGGTTGCCAGCCGCGTGCCTGCTGGGAGGAGCGGACGGTTGCTGGCTATATGTGTTTTGAAAAGGATTCTGGTGCTTCGCGCCCGGCACCATTGCAGGGCGGGAGGCGTAAAGGAACGACTGTTTGTTGGAGTTTGCCTTTCCTTTGTCAAAACATCTCAACCAAGAAAATTCAACGGAACGGGATACCCAGTCCGCACACATGTTTTTTTTGTTTGACAATGGTTCGGCACAAACAATCAAGGAGCGCGAATCTGGAATCTAAATTGAAACTGCCCACATGCTGCATGGTTTGCCCCATCCATCTGTCATCCAGCGGGGTTTTGTGCCGCGGTGGTCACACAAAGTGGCGCAAAGGTTCTACAGAAACTTGGGGGTGGTGAAGCCGCTGCTGTTGCTGGTGGAGCTGTTGCTCCTGCTTTACGGAGTTTGGCCCTGTGGTTCTTGTGCTGAAGCCGGGCGATTAGGGTGTCGGATTCGTTGAGCATGGCTGGTGGTAGCGCGCCTACTGGTAGCGCTTTGGTCTAGGGTGAGTCAGGGGCTGCAGAGACGGTGACAACAATGTTTTTGAGACCAACGCAAACACATTGACATAACTGAACAAGGACAGCCATCACTTACATGAACAGAGCCCCAAACCATTGGTCGAACGCCTTTTCTCCCCAGGACTGGAATGACCATGCAACATCATGCAACGACGTGAAACGTTTGGCGTGCTTTCCATGCTTTCCATGTTTGCCATGCTGCCATGTTAGCCATGCTTGCCATGCTGCAATGCTTGCCATGCTTGCCATGTTTGCCATGCTTTCCATGCTTGCCCTTGTCCAACATACCTCAAGAGCAGTATGTCGAGTCTATGTTGGACATGTCATCTCAGAGGAAAATATTGTGCCAGTTGGCATTGGAGAAACGAAAAATAAATGAGAATACAGCAGGCTGATTCGCTGCGTGTATGGAGTTGCCCACCTTCTCCTCGTGGTGGCCAACCAATGGCTGCCATAAGATTTGCAAGCACCGTCGTACATAAACCCCAAAAACGAAAGGAGGAAAAAACTTGAAAACAACAATCAATAAACGTACATATCGAATCATATCGAGCAATTGACCATAGGGCGAAGAGGCATGGTGCTCGAACCAGAACCAAACCATAGAGGGATAAGATCTCAGCCCCCTCCGAAACAAGCCGTCAAAAACATAGAAGAAAAGGAATATGGCGGAAATATTATGGCTTCGCTCATGGAACAAGTTTCGTGTCTTACCTGAAAACTGGAAAGAAAAATTAGCACCTGCATTCGAGGGGGAAAGCTTGAACCGCAATGTATTCGCAACCAAATCGCGGTGGGTGCTACAACGGCTACAACTATCTTGCTTCTCGGTACTATGTTATAGGACTCCTTCGGCTAAATGGTTCCGCATCAAATGTCGCGTCTAGCCGGGGGAAGTGGCGGAGGATTGTTTTTTTCGAGGCAATGGGTCCGTGGTCACATTTCGTTTTTTGCCTGCCGGCATTTTTCCAGGAGCAGAAATCTATACTAGGGCTGCAACATGATCTTGGAAACACTTTTCTTAAATACGATATATCATGTGTCAGCATCTTGCAGTTTATGACTATGATGTTCATTGCAAGAACAAAGACATCTTAGCCAAGCAGTAGGACAGTTTTCCGCCACATGCTGGATAGACAACCCATGGGCAACTAAAACACAAAGGGGGACGGACATACATGCAACTTTCCAACTAGAGCGCACCACAAGAGAACCAAAGGACACCGTAGTGCTTACTTGTAGTGCGTAAATGTGTGCAATGTGTCTGCGTGTACGCGTTTTCCCTTCCTTTAAGTGGATGACACGTGGCCAGCTTGGCGAGATGAGTCAGCAGATTTTCAAGTGCCGATCCCTTTAAAACGGCATCGCATGGCCTCAAGGAATGGAAAGTGAAATTGCTTGCCAAACCTCTTCTGAAATCCACAATGCCGTCTGGGGACGGTAAATGTCTTTCCTCTTGCATGTGTTTGGGTGTTTTTGCCTACTGTGCTGGCTCACTGAAGTACCTCGGGCCATCACTGCCTCTCCGCGGTTCGTGTTGTCCACCCCGCACTTCTGAATCGCAACGTTACAATTGCGCTGAAGTGTGCCAGCCTTGAACAAAGACATTCCATGATCCTCCCGTATTCCATCTTCCGCTTGGAGTTGATTTGAAAGAAGTTCCGAATCCTTGGAATACTAAGCGGAATGTTCACGCCAGGGGTAGTGTACTACAGTTGCACGTGATAGCGAGCAGTTCTGTTGGCAGCTGTTGTTTTCGGGGTGGAGCGGGGGGATGAAGCAGGTTGTTGTCCACTTGGCAGCGCTGAGCACTTCCCAGAGATTTTGCGGCATTGTAGAAAAGTTGTTATCTCCATGTCTTGCATCGTTTTTGGAAGCAGTCCCGCCCCAAGCCCTTCCAAAAAGTTTAAACTTTGGTTTGATCCATTTGCAGTACAGGTCGCTTCCAGCATTCAAGAAGTGCAGCGCCAGGCGAAAAGATGCGCCAACAAGTTCGCCAACTGCTCACTCTCACTCTCACTTTTTGTCTCACCGCCTCTGGTGAATCTCAGGGCCTCCCTCCTTTGGAAAGGCCACAGTGTAGCACAAAAGCACAAGGTAGGTGCTTCCTGCCGCCCATTCACTCTCAAATTCTTGCAAGAGCAACTTTGTGCTTTGGGTATTGCAGTTTTGCAAATCATTTGGCGCGGAAACCAAATGTTGTGAGCATCAATCGATACCTCAGGCAACGGCAACAGACAACTAAACGCAAAGAGACTATGCACGCACATGTACCTGCAAGACTCCTCAAGCACAATGTGAAACATTATGCTGGTTGATACAACATGATACAACGGCGTGTCTGAGTATGAGAGGAAAACCATGGAAAACCAAAAGCAAAAATGTCAGGTTGTAGGTGGTCACCACCTGTTGCAAATAAATACATATATTGAATGATATTGGATATATTGGCTTGAGATGCTGAATGTTTGTACCGAAATGCATGGAAACAAGACGGTACAGTATGGATCATATGCATCAGTATGCTATCATATGTTGCAGTAGATTAAAAAAAGAGACCTCGTGATCTTCATGACCACTCTGGACTTGAGAGGTAGGAATGGATAAGACTTTTGCATCATTTTGTGCGTTGCCAAGACGCTCCGTGGGAACATGCGCAGGTGCATGAACCGACCACAAGACCAGAAGAGTAATCAAAGTAACAATGTGAAACATTGAACAAGATAAACACGCAAGCTATCACGCAAGTATGTTGAGAGACAGAGACATTGAGGTAGGAGCGGGAAGGGAGAGGGAGAGGGAGAGGGAGAGGGAGAGGGGAAGAGAGAGAGAGCGCGCCACCAGGCCAACAAGAGCGAAGATGCGCAACGACGTTTGGGCTTCGCTCTGTGTTTATTGGCAATGTAGCTGGAAGCTTCAGCTGAGCATTTGGCTATGCATTCATTGACCAGTACGGTGTCTGTGCAGCGTCTACTGGGAAGAAACGACCAAACAGCGCATTGGCCTCCCGACAGGAAAAGCCAAGGTTGTGTGCAATTCTGCAAGAACAATCTGGACATCTGCTGTCTGTGTCAATGCATCTTTGCATATCTGTACAAATTATTACAGATTATGTCTCAGCAGCACGCCAAGGAGAAGCTCAAAGAGTTTGGCAAGTGCATGTCCTGGACACCACACAAGCCGCACTTCAAAGATCGAGCAGACTCCAGCAGCTTCTCTGATCTCGGGTGATCTCATCTGCATCCCCAGACTCTCACTGAACACCGGCACTGTCCTTTGATACCCATCGTCCGTCGACAAAATCACAGTGCAAAGTATAGTAGCCTTGCCATGATCTGGTCAGCTCAACAGGTGTGAAGTATGATGCATCGTCCAAATTCCGTTTGCATACGGCTCATTTTCAAGACGCTGACTTCGAGGAGGTTGACATGTCAACGTGCTTCAGTACATGTAGATTTTAAATGATTTTAAATTGATATTAACTGATTAGCGTGCACACATGCCACCTATTGTGGTCAAAAACCTGCCCTTGGCTCTCAGAGACATCAGGACTACAAGATTCAACTATCTACAATTGTCAAATTGACTTCATGGTCTGAGTTCTGCCAAGCAGCGTGTCACCAACCAGAAAAGAAGTCCCAAACAAAATACCTGCAATCCACAGCCAAGAATTGCAGTCGATAGAGATCAGTGCAGCAGCATGCAGCAGCTCCTGAGCATCTGGGTGCCCACACCATGACCTTTGGAATCATTTCCCACGCAAGTTGGAGATGTCCAGGGGCTAATTCCTCTGATTTGGACCTCGCGATATTCGAGATACACCATCGATGTAGTGAGAGAAAAAGAGCTGTGCTTCTGTTGAGGCTGCAACAGAGTTTCTTGGTCACTATGAGTGTGTAGATCTCCTTCCTGGTAGAGAGGATATTCCTAAGAGTCACATCCACAAAAGCGCGTGCAGCGCGAGCATGTTGGAGTCAAACCCTTCCTCTGAGCCATGGACCTGACACTCATCCAGGAGGTGATTTACCTGGACAGAATTCAATAATTCAATGAAAGCAAATGATGCATCCAGGGAATTTCCCAAAGGGAAATGACACAATAACATTGTCAAATAACATTGTCATTCCAGTCATGCCATTGTCATTCCCTAAAATCTCTCTGCACAATGCGTCGAAGTCCAAGTCTGGCCTCTGCAGACAACATCGCATCGGTGATAATTTCATCCAGTGTCAGCAGAAAGCCTAAAGCTACGGAGTTCACAATGATATCATCGATACCTGACACGACCCAGAGGAGTGGCATGAGAAAACCACACGAAAATCAGGTCCTTCATCTCTTGCCTAATAAACGTTGGTCAAGCTGGTTCAAACATGTTCAAACTCGTCAAGCCAACGTTTAGAAATGTTTAGAAGTTTAGAACTGTCTGCGTACAATCGAATACTGCCCACGTATTTTAGCACGAGCCTGTGTCTTCTGCAGTTTGTGGAAAGTTACTAGAAACTCCTGGTGAACTCTTCACAGGTTGATGGATTGGTTCAATGGCCTCCGGTCTCCATCAGAAAATTGATCCCTGTACCTCAGGCAGAATCTTTGAAACAACATGCGTACTGTATTGGAAATCATGGAAATGCTGGGACAGTGAATCGCCCATGCTTTGGCAATGCAAGGGCTCCGTACACAATTGTCATGAAAATATCATAAAGAATTTGCAGGTTTCGGCTTGGCCAAAGCAGAGAAGGAGAACCAAACAACGCTGTAGGTGGAAACCAGTGAAGTCAACACCAATCGAAATGACGAGGAAGGGAAAACGAAAACATGCAAAAGGAGGACGAAAAGCAGATCAAACTATCGAACCAAAAGTCGATAGTAAGCGCTCTTCATCCTTCAGCGTTTCAAATATCTTCAATACTTTCTGAATTCAGAGACATCACAATGAAGAGATCCCACTGGTATCAAAGCACACCGGGCTCGACTGAGCGTCAAGCTGGCAGTCATCTCCCAGAGCATGATCTTGGGAAGCAGCACAACAAAGACCTGTGAGCCAAGCAGCATTTTGACATGTTTCGTCGTCACATCATTGTTTCGTTGTTTCATCATTTTTCATTCACAGGTGGATATTGCGCAACAAAAACCAATCAAATGCAAATCACGCTTGGGCTTACGATCAAGTTGGTGCAAGGAAGAGAAATGGAGTCGTCTTTGGGTTAATTTGTCAGCAACAACTCGAATCGGACATCCATCGTCTGAAAAGGCCTGGATCCAACCGACTGGAACTAACGACCTTTAAAAACCAGTAAACAATAGTAAACAGTAAATACATTATAAAACATGTCCAAGTCACATTCACCAGCTTCCACGTCCTGCACTTCGGTTATTCTGGAGCATTCCTTAGGTCCTTTGGTCCGTTGCATGAATATACAAAATCCATCAAAAACCTATATACTATATAACTTACAAAGTGCAAATATATCCCGCCAGTGTTTTTTCATTTGTTCATGTTTCAAAGGAACCATGTGCAGTCTCCGTGCAGGAAACGAATGTCCTCGGCATTCCGGCCACCTTCACCTCTACCTGATCAAATCAGGAAAAAATCAGGAGCATCCGACACGGTCTGAGCAGTCTGACACAAGATTCAGCCAGATTCAACCAGATTCAAGGGCAATTTGTGATGTACTATGATGATCTATGATGATCTATGACGTACCGATTTCTGTTGAAAAAAGTTAAAGCTGAGAAAACCATCGAGCCTGGCTCAGCCACTTTTCCATCGTCTCAGCAGTCTCATCATCCTCCTGGCATCATTTTATGGCAGCCACACAGGCACTGCACCGGCACTGCACCGGCAGGCTGCATGTGTCACTGAGCACACACTTGTCCACCTGGGTTTCCATATATGTATCCCAGGCCTCTGCGCCCAGCTTGAACCAAGGCTGTTCTTCGCTTGGAATGTTATACCTCAATATGGAAATCGAAACAGCATAGCACACAGCAATACACCGCATACATAGATTACGTAACGTTGTTCAGGTGTTAGGAGGATTTTGGAGGAAAACTTGAAGTATGGTTTTGCTGTTGGTCAAGGAGCAGCAATCTGATCATGTTGATAATGTTGTCTAGCTCCTGCACAAGAAAATCTCGACTGTCAGAGTTCCAAGGTGATCCGAGCAAATTCTTCCTGTCTCTGCGAGATAACCCACTGCTGTCCTGTGTGATACTGATGACCTTGGGCGACAAATCCGGGATATTCTATGATATCCTCCCTTTTTAAGAGACATTAAGAGACCAATAGCATCCAACAGTCAACTTGAAGGACACCGAACTGCCCCACCTATGGTTTGCTGGCCAAAGAAGCGATGTGAAGGAATTGGATGCTGGTGATGCTGAAATGTGCGATCATGCGTGATGACGCTGTTCCCGCAGCCCGGAATTCATCTGTGGACTCCAACTACAGATCCACTCTGTGGCTCGGGCATAAACGAAGCAACAAAGAAGGCGGCAGTAATAGCTTTCTACCCCATATTCTCCAGGGTCTGCAATTGTCCTTCGAAAACATGCGGTTTCCCATTGCCAGTTGTACAGGACTGGAAGGCAGAACATGGATAAATAATGATAGATGCACATTCCCTCACTGCCAAATGACTGATGTTTCTGCGAAAAGCATTGGAATCGCTGAAAGCAGCGCCTGTCCTGATCTTTTCTGCTTGGTCCGGAAGGACCGCTGCTAAAGAATCCCGGACGAAGCTACGAGATGCCCATTGGCCTGCAGTTGCATCAGTCGCCCTTCCCCTTCCCTGTCCACTTAGTCCACTTAGTCCATGTGGCTTGAGCATAGTCAGTGTCATGCGCATGTGCCGCGTGTGGAATGCCAAACTGCAGGGACTGCAGGGACTGCAGGGACTGCGGGGACTGCACCGATCAAGCACAACACATTGAGGAAGTGGCTCCAGGAGTAGAGTCGTGGTGCTGTCACTGGAGTGCCAAATGGGCCAACGCATCCTCGGTTGCATCACAATGCGATGGAAATTGAATGAAATTGAAGCTTTTGCTCGGCAATGAACCACAGAAAAACAGCAATTCCAACATTCGAACAATATATGCTTGATCCGAAGCTCTTTCAGAGTCATCATCCAGAGTGCATGCTGGCAAATCAGCTCCGAAATCACACAAATACATCTGTCCTGCTTGCTTCGCAACAAAGTCTGTCGTCAATGCCAACAGGCCGGTGAGCCATGCACAACAAAGACAAACCCTGAAGCCGACCCTGGGACTTTTCGAGGCATAGTGACAACCCTTCTTGGGAATTTGGCCAAAGAGGTCAAAGGATTTTGGATATTTAGGAATCTCCTGCGAAAAGGTTCATGACGTGAAGCTCTTTTCCTACGTAGACCAGCCTGAAGAATGGCAACATGCAAACATCAAGTGCAACTGGCATCAAATGAGACTCTGATCACAAGTGGCCGACAAACGTGGCACCCCTCTGAGAATTCAGGCATCGTTGCGTGCACAAACATGCAAACCAGCAGGTAGAAGTAGCTGCTCACGACCTAAATAGCGCAGCCACAGTCACTGCCACCTGTTACATGTTTGGAAAAGACCACCGGCAGAGCAGGTGTGACAGCGACTCGTAGTTTGCCAATTTCTGTCCTTGTCTCAATCGTTCCTCAAAAGTCCTCAAATCTGTTTAGGCAAGACACATGGGGTAGAAAGAACCGATGCCAATGTGCTGTTCTTGCCACTTGTGGCATCAAGATGGCAGCTCCGTACACTGAATTGGGCTCCTCAGCTTTATACAACTCTTACATCAACTCTTCACAGTTCACACTGTTGCTTGAATCGCATGTTGCTCCCAACGCATGTTTGATTTCCCTCAAATCCTAAACCTGTACTTCATGAATCTTGCAAGCTTCACTTCTTACGAAAATCTGTCTCTAAGCTGAATGATGTGCCAAAACAGAGCACACCTTGAAAGCACAGGCTTCAAGTGCCATGAAGTCAGGTCCACAATAAGTTGTTGTTTGTGTCTATCCTCAGCTCTTCAATACAAGTCGCAATGCCAACTTTCCCCAGCTGCATGAACTTCATGGCACCAACGAGCTTTGCGTTTGCCAGAAGTTGCCTGTACCTTTGCGGACGAGGCAAAGCGTCCGCAAACTCAGTTGGCGAAATTGTCGTGTTGGATTCGCCGTGGATGCAGACGAGCTTCTCTTCCAACGAGACCCCCAGCTCCTCTGCAGGTGCCAGTCTTAGGGTGTCTCTCCGACCTCGGCCCAGCCGGTGCCGGCTGAGATTGGTCAGGTCTGGAGGTCTGGAAACATGGTCCACTGAGTCCACTGTCCGAGGCACTGCCGTTCTTATCCGCCATGCTGCCTTCCTTGGTGCGACCAAAATTACCAAAATATTTCATGAATTACATGGATTTTAGCTGTGCCAGGCTGTGCCAATCTCATGCAATGCCAACAACTCTTCCCCTCCCGAATCCAAGAATCTGAAGCTCTCCTCTCTTGCCCCGCAGGCACTGCAATGTAGCCACCTCGCAAAGCAGCAAGAAGGAAACGAATGAATCATCCAGCCCTGTTGTCAGTCACTCTCTCTCAACAGTGTGAACTAGCTGCAAGGTTGTCTGCGGAAAGCAATGTCTTATATTTCTCTTGTTGCACAACGTTGGAAACTTAAGGTCCAAAGTGGGTTGTGTCAACATATGCACCGAAACCACACAAACATGGCAGGCTACATGGACATTGTTGCATGCGAGAGCTACTTGTATTGCTCATGCCTTTTGGCTTTTTGTTTCATTTCTTACAGTAATCAGCGAAATGAATCAATCTCACTGTAAGCCTCCAATGCCAGTGCCCATGGCCTCAGAGCAAGCTTCTCCGTCACTTCAAAGCCCAAAGATGCAAACGTATGCAAACAATTTCAACGTTCGGAACACGGGTTGCTGCGAGAATTGAAACAAACATGGAGAAAGCTTGTGAGAAAGTATCATAATGAGCATTTTGATTCAAGGGAAACATTGAACACGATTGAACATCCATCGCAATGCGGGAGGATCTGCACTCTGGCCCAGGCATAGCCAACAGATGCCTCCCTAGATGACCTAGATGTCGTGCGAGCCTAGCAGCGGCTTCTGCATGGAAAGTTAGCCGAATTCAATAGCAATTAGCTATAAAATCTACAAAATGCTGCAACATGCCACAAGATGCTACCACCACTTGAATGGGGCATCCGCTGCTGTAGCGTCTTGCCATGTCAACCTCTGCTAACAGACTCTCTCGCCCTGCCTGCTCAGAGTCTACTTGCTCCCTCGGTTCATTAAACATAGGGAGAAAGCAGACAAGCTCAGCCCTGTTCTCAGTGAAGATTGCTCTGCGAATCTGGCACCCACACAACATCCAACAAGCGGACAATCTGTATCATGTTCATTGCCAAGTTTCAGCTGGCGAGCAGGCCTGAAATTTCACGGATTTTCACGGCATCCAAAATTGAGTTCCCACATCTTGGTCCTAAATAACAACCGATAGAATGGTTGACACAGTTGACACCCTTGCCTTCACAGAATCTGCCTTTTTGCACACTTCATTGTGTGTGGATATTATTTATTTATATATATATATATGTGTGTGTATGTGTGTGTGTGCATGTGTCATAGCGGATTTGGGGAGACAGTGTGATAAAGAAGAGGATCAGCACCCACTAGTGCTTTGCATGCGACAACTGCTAGACTGGCCCGACCCTCCAGCAGATTTTGACGGCGGAAATCTCGTTGCCATGTTCAGCGATTCTGCTCTGGCCAGCGATCAAGCTCCGATCAAGATTTGGCAAATATAGTGCATGCTGTGTATAGCATCGAACATGAATGAACATGATACAATCCTTGAGTCAAGGAATTGCTTGCAGAATGCAGATAAAATCAGATAAATATTCAGCGGCAAGCCCAGAATGTCTATCCTCTGTCTTGCAGATCATGAATACGCAGGCTAAAGTGCACCTGAAGCCGAAACTTTGTGCTTGAAAAGGCCAATTGAAGTGTTGGCTTGTTAGCTGAACCAATCTCACACTTCATTGCAATTAACATGTGTGTCTCTCTCTCTCTCTGCAGCATCAGGTCAAAACATCGTGACCTGAATAGGAACCGCCTGGTTTTGTACTCAACCATTCAATCAAACCCTTGCGAGATGCTTCGCCTATTTCCCTTACATTTTTCCCATGCTCTCTGCGCGCATTGAAACTGCTGCTACCAAGTAATGCTGACGTGCCGTCGAACCCGTTCATCAACCATGTCTGACGGCCTGAGATGAACTTTCTGCTGACTTATCGTCATGAGCCCAGAGTGTATGGGCACGACAACTTCCAGAGCATTTCTAACAGGGGCACAGAGTTCATGCAATGTTTGACAGAGGCTCTTGCCGTGATGATTTGGTACAAAGGCTAACCACTTGAGACAACTGTCTGACAACTGTATGCTTTTGTGGAAATGATTTCTAATGGTTCAATACTCCACATCAAGAGCCGTCATCACCGGCTGCATTCACTCGCCAATTTCAGGCCCCGGTACTTTGCCAAAGCCTGTTTTACACGTCAACCCCGAATGCTTCTCACTTCACAACCTTGACCTTCTTTTCAATCCAATTTATACAGCAAACATACACTATGTGGACAGAGAAAGAGAGTCGAGAGTATATTTTCGAGAGAGAATGATGGAAATTATCACAACGCCCATTGTGTGTGTGTGTGTACACATGTCGGGGTCACGCTATGTTCATCGATTGGATCCAGCTGCCTTCGCACCGACTCCCTTCAGGAAGCGCTAGCCACAGAAACCGCTATAGCAAGTGATCCAACGTTGCAGATCTTCCGATGAATTCTGGATACTTTTGGATACTTCTGGATGGCCCAAATGGTGAGGCATCACTGCAGGCTACAATATCTACAATATCTACAATCAAGGTTGCCTACGAATTAGGCCCTCGACTCAGAAGAGAGATACTTCAAGACCGTGACCTCCCGCTCGATATCCCTGCACTCCTCCATCTCTTCCAAAAATCTCGAGTTGGATCTGGAACCAAAAGGGTTTTCTCCCTCTGGCTGTGCTGCTGTGCGCATCTTCCAACCCTTGCGCGCATTGAAATCCATACCTCTCAGCTCAATGATCCGGTCTCCTCTGTTCACTGTTCTTCCGGGATTTTGTTCATTCCATTTCGCCAGAGTTCCGCCTGGTTCAATGTGCATAATCACCGCCCCAAAAGAGTCTTCGAAAGCATCAAGCTGAGCACCCAATGAGCCCTTCAATTCAATCGAAAATTTCTCGGGGCGGTCAAGCTGCAAGCTCACCTCATCTGGTGCTTTTGAATAAAGAGCCTCCAAGACTTCGTGTGGATCAGACAAGTTTCCATAGCCGATGATAGCGTCGTACGCCTCGATGGCATAGTATGGATTGCTTTCATTGAAGTTCTTCGCCGCACCACCTGTCAAAACCTCTTTGATCATGGGTGGTTGGTTGATACCCTCAGGAGCATCAAGAAGTAAACCAAGCTTCAGCTGGCCAGTAGGGATGGTTACCCAGAAGATTCCGGGGCCTTGCTTGTCTTCCTGGAAGGACATTTCAACGTAGCCGCGCAGGTTCGGAGGCTCTGCAAACCAAAAGTAGAGGCCTATAAGTGTCAACAGAACAGCCACGCCCAGCCCCAACAGGATAGGTACTATGTTTAATAACCCATGCTCCCCGGGGCTCTTTTCCCCGTGGAAGTGCTGGATTTCCATCTCAGTCTTCTCGAGCTGGGCTCGATTGACATAGACCTCGCCAGAAGGCAGCTTACCACCATTAGGATTGCTGGCGCAGAGGATAGAAGCTTCTCCCAAGAATTCGAAAAAGCGAGGGTACTGTGATGTGGTTGTGACCTTCAAGTCTGCTGTGAAGGATTTTGCCCTTACGAACTTCAATGACACAGCTTTGTTGAATTGCCTCAGCGTCAAGTGGAGGGGATTCTTCGGCTCATCTGGTCTAAGGGCTTCTTCGGTGGCTTTGAAAGCAATTTTGTGTTCACTGCTTTCTGCTTGATGTACAAGGATTGTCGTGTCCTCTGCAACCACTGCTTGTGTCCAATCACCTTGGATAACCACCTCTTCCACGCCCGCATTTCCATATCCATGGTCCAGGTCAAAGAATGTGATGGTAAAATCATCCATGACCACAGGCTGCTTTGTGTGCCAATCATGAAAGGTGAAACGAAGGTTGGCGGAAGACTTCGAGGCTACGTTCACCGTGGCATACATGCCATGCATTCCATTCAATTTGGGGAAAGGGCACGCTAAGCCTTTTGCACCATGAACCCTCATCTCAAAATCCCTGCCTTTCGAAGATCTCACATGGTAGTATAGTCCTTCCGGACCGGAATCGGGCCCCACTCCAGCTAGATTGCTGTGAGTCACCTCGAGGATGTGGAGACGTGGGAAATCCGTGCAGGTAGGCTGCAGCTCTGACTGCACAGAATTGAACATGGAGATTGGATGCACTTTGCTCACGTTGTTCACGGTGAAAGGAGCTCTCAGAGACGCTCCAATGACAGCCAGCACTGCCAAAGCCACAAAGGCTCCCAAGGCTCCCAAGGCTCCCAAGGCCCAATAAAAAGCTCGAGCGTTGGAATTTTGCGCCTGGAAGGTGCCGCCTTCTGCCTTAGACAAAGCGGTGACCTCTGTGAGTTCCCTCGACTCCTCTCCGAAGATTAGCTGTGAAGCCATCTCGGCTAAAGAAATGGATCAAAGAACTGCAATGAAGTGAACGAATCAGTCAGTCCTAGAAAATGGTCGGTTCAAATCTTGCTCAGTAGATTGGGTCTTTGACATCTGTCATCAGTCTGCCATGTGACTGCTTGCGTGCAATTCTACATGTGCAAGAAAGAAATCTCGAGGAATTGAGCCATCGGACTGAATCAACGCAACATAGCACTGCCAGTTGAGACAAGACGATTCCAGGGCAATGTTTATAAAGTGTATGTTTATGCAATAGAAGCATGCAACTGCCCTTTTTTCATCTTGTTTCTTCATTTCGTACAGCATCTCTCAGATTTGCCACGGCAACCTAGTGTGACAAGGCTGCAGAGTCGGAGGGAAAATGAGTTGCCACTGTCATCTTGCAACATCTTGCAACATCTTGCTATCATTGCGACTATTGTCTGCATCGTTTCCTTTCATTTCCTTCGTCCCGTGCTAGCAGTGAGTAGTATAAGCATCATGGGCAACAGCCTTTCTAAAAATGCGAGGACTGCATTAGCAACCTATGCTGAAGGAACAGAATGTGTTGAGTAGCAGCTTGGCATGAGTTGAACACCAATTCTTTTGAAGGGAATCTTGAATAAGAAACAAGGGCAGTATCAGCGGATCCAACCTTGACTAGATGCTAATGTGCTACCACTTTCATTTTCCGCGAGGGAAACAGTAATCAAGACAGCAAGATTGAAACGGGGCGCTTCCTGCACGGTACGGGTTGTACATTCCAAGTATCGCATCCGAATGTCCATGCCGAATATCGCAAGATATCGCAAGAATCCATTTGCTTCAATCCTGGCCTGAGAGATCCTGACACCATGCCAGCCATGCCAGTACTTGATCTGGCTCAATCCTGCCACTTGAGAGCTGACACGGGAAACTCCCAGTTATTTGTTTTTCTTTACAAATGTGAATAACGTATACGCTGCTTTCCTATGTCATGTCTTGGTTAGTTTGGTCGGTTTCAAACTACGTCTTTGGAGAAGACCTCTGAACGCGGGGAGATCGTCCCAATATTCAGAAACGCCCTTCATTTTGCCAGGTGGTCAGATGCTATTAGCAGCTCAGCGTACAGAATCCATGTGTGAGCCAATGGCAAAGATGCAACGCAGCCAGCAAGGAGTCAATAGGTTGTGTAGGACACTTTGCAACTCAAAAGGAATCTAGAATCACATAGCTACATCATTCCGTCGGATGTAAATCAATTGGCGAGTCGGTTGAATGATTGGTAGTGCAGACTGGGAAACCAATGAGAATCAGCCCCTCCCCCGCTTCCTCGGGCCAAAATCAGGAAGAGAGTTGTAGATATCACAAGACTTTGAAGTACACAGTGGCCCAGTTGACGATCCTCGGGAAGCCACGTATAAAGTATGGAAGGACGAAACAAGATCAACTCTGGCTATAGTGGTTATAGTGAGTTATAGTGAGTTATAGTGGAAATCGATGGAAATCGGATATCAGAACTGGAGCTCTGAAATTTCCACAGCAAATAGAATTTGCTGCGTATTGCAGGCCAAAGGTCTCCAAAGGTCTCCACTCTTCTGCGGTTCACTTTGTGGAAAGCTTGGCCGCTGAGGATCCAACCAACATTGCCTTGCAGCAAAGTTGGACAAGTCAACAAGTAATTTTTATCAAGACCGTCAAGACCGTCAAGACCTATCAAGCAGTCAAGCACTCCAAGCTCTTGGAAAGCACGGAAGCATCAGGAAAATCCTCATTGGCGCTCACCTTTTCTGACGCAAATAACTCGGACTCTAGTTACCATGGCTTCGCATTGGACCAGGTTTGAATTTGATCTGCATCTGGAGGGTTGCCACTTTGCCACTCTCTAATCAAGCCCGAAAATCTTGGAGCTCCGGTGAGGTCTGAGCTGCATTTTTTGCACTTTGATTCAATTTGTTGCTTGATCATTCCATACGAATTCAGGGCCAGTATTATCCTGTCAGTTTTAGTCCTTCCTGCTCAGCCCAAGCATTTTCCAGTTAGGATGCTTTCCCAACTCAGAAGTCGCTCAGTGAAGGAGCTGACCCCCGCGCCTGAGGGGCTGTCCAAACAGGTGTCATATCGCAAATGGCCAAACTGGACGTTCTCCCATTGCAACATCACAGCCGATAGAGCCGCACAACGTCGGCAAGCTGTATTACTGAGTACAGAGATTATATATACATAGTATAATATGTATTAGTTAGACTGTTGCTCCCCCGTCTTTCTCATCTAACCGCCCACATTATTATACAAGCAAATTCTATGGGGTTAATACCAAAGACAGGGGAGCAACACCTTATAGAAAACAATAACATAAATCAAAACAAGAAAAAACAAAACAAGAAAACTCAAACAACCTAAACAATACAATAGATTTTAAAAAAGACTATACCATAAATCATAACAAAAACAATTTCACTTTTATAATTTTGAAATTATAAAATGAAATTTATGTTTGCTGTTTCTTCAAGTTCTCCAGATGCTTTGTTGTTTGTGTGTGTCTCTTGTAATTCTTACATTGAATTTCATAATCATCACATACAGGGCAGGTCATCCATTTTATTTTAGCATTCACTTGTTCAATGTTTTCTGCTCTATGATTTCTTCTTCTTTCATTTATTTCTTCCCTGTGTGTCCTACCATAATTTCTAGCATATTCCTTTGCCTCCTCTATATGATTGTAATAATACTCTCTCCTCCTTTCATTATATTTTTCTTTGTTCTTTTGATGATTAGCCCTCATATATTCCCTACATTTATCACAAGTTTTGTATTTACCCTCTTCCATTTCCTTAAAACATTTAGCACACTTGACTTTAGTATCCTCCATTACCTACTATAGATAGGTAATAACTCTTTAAGTGTCTTTCCTATCCCTTTTCCCTAGATTATAACATAATCAACAACAAAATCATAACAACAAACAACAAAAGAAAAAAAAACAGACAACATAGACAAAACAAAAGACAATAAAAAGGACAATACCATAAATCATAACAACAATAACAAAATCAAAACAGCCTACTACAAACGAAAACAAAGCAACAAAACAACAATAACAAAATCCTAACAACCTATTAATAAAACCAATAACATATGACATAACAAGCTCATCATATCAACCCATCTCATCAGTCTCATCCGTAAAAATTATATAATATTATCATTTGTATTGAATAATTTTCATCAAAGCATATACAAATATACATCATCTTACCTTATCTATTTCATAGGTGTTATTTCCAGAAATCATAATTGCTTGAAATAGTCCTAGAAAATAGTTGCAACATAAATTTAATAGAATTATCTTATCAAAATTATGGGGATAATCAACATAATTTTCATAATCATTTATTATGAAGATTATGGGATTAATTCCCACTGTCTCCCCCTATAGGGGAAGCCTCAGCCCCCAGCCAATATACTATCCCACCTCCCAGCATACATACCAGCATACATACAAACTAGCATATCACAACAGCATCAAATCTTTCTCAATCTCAAATCTCTTTAATTACCGCAATTACCATGCCCAAACCACCCTTCATGAACTTGTTGATGACCATGTCTTCTTAACCTCAGCGCAATGTAAATGGCACAGCAATCCAAACTTTTGGGGCGAAATGGAGTGAAAAAGATTTGGGTGGTGTGCGTCCCAGACTTGTTGGTGCTCAAGTTTTTGGAAGGGTTTGTCTTTGTATCAGGCATGCATGCACTGAATGTCAAGCTTTTGAAGGCTCACTGGCATGAATGCTCTATTGAAACTGCGGAACTGTAAGTAAAGGCAGCTGCATCCACCGTTTCAATTTTGAAAGCTGATGTGAAGTACTGCAGAAGGGTAGCAGTATACCACATGTGACATCCAAAGGATGGGTTGTTGAAAGCCACACCCGAAACCAGAGGGGTTGTGGTTCAAAGAGCCGACTGCCACAAACGTGTGGCTCAAGATGCACAAGCTGGAAAAGTTGCTGCCCCGGCTTGTTCTCTGCGTCTCGGCAGCACCGCGGGTTATGAGCCCAAGGCGGCCGTAACTTGCCATGATGGATCGTCGAAGAGAAAGCAGCATCCGTCGAAGGGAAGCTGAAGCAGGACCCGTTGAAGAGACCGCCGAGCAACAGCTGGAGCGCATGCAACAAGAGTTCCAGCAGGAAGTTGTGGATCGACCGGCTTCAGGGGGCTTCGCTGCTGCAGAATTTCTGAGTGTGGGTGTTGGAAGTGCAGTTGAAGAGGAACGTGGGGGAGAACCTCCTCGAACCGTAGACACAACTGCTGATGACCTTCGAGGTTCTGGTGAGACGGTTGGTGTTCGAAGGGTGACTGCTCCTGATAGCACTGCGGGATCTTCTGGACATGGTGGTGAAGGGTCGCAAAACCGAGTTGCAGGACCTCCCAGGTCTTTTGCGCCAGCAGTTCTGTCCACTGCAGCAGGTGTTCCTCCGACAGTTTCTGGGGAAAACTTAGTAGCTGAGGTGGTTAGGGAACCTGTTGGGTGGGAGGTTGGTCCACGGTTGTTCCCACAACAAAGTGCGAGTGATCAGGGAAGGGTTGCTCAAATGGTTGGTCATGATGGTCGGGATGTCCCAAACCAAAGTGCAAGTACCATGTTAGATTATCCTCCGGGGTTTGAACAGCAAGCTTCTTCAAGGGATCTTATGGTTTTGGGTAATGCTCAACAAACAGTTCAATGGGGTGACCGAACGGTTCCTGTCGCTGTCAACCCGTTCTGGAGTCCGGAAAGGAAGGCTTATGAACGTATGGAGGTTGAATGGCAGAGGCATTTAATGGTCCAGGATGGTAGCATGGGTTGTGGCCAAGTTCAAATGGTTGAGCGGCCAAGCCACTTGGAGTTGCAGCCTCCTCAGCAAGGGTTTCAGGGGAATCGGCCACAGGGGTCTAACCCCGAAACGCCACAAAAGGGTGTGGAAATGGATCCGATTGAACTTTTCCGTTTGCGGTGTCTCAGAGAGGCCGAAGAAAAGTTCAGGGTTGTGTTGAACAAATGACGCAACAACAAACCAAGGGTAAGGGTGATAGGGATGGATCAAAAATGGTTGGTACGGGTCAGGATGTGTCCTCTCAAGCCTCTTATGCCTCTGCGGTATCACATGGAGTGGCTAGCCTAGGGTTCACACCACCTCCGCCTCCAGGTCCGCCACCTGCTTCGCCAGCTAGGGATGGTAGTTGTAGCTTCATGGTTGATGGTGGGAGTCAACCTCCACCTCCGCCACCACCGCACTACCCACCGGTTCCACCAATGCCTGGTTTTGATGGTAGTTCCAAAGGGTCAGGGTTCTTAGGAGAAAACCCAACTGAGAATCTTCGTACTTGTGAGCTTCCACGGTTGGTTTCCGATTCCACGCCTTTACAATTTGGTGATTGGTGGAACATGATCGATAGCCATATGGGTGACCTGTCGTATTCCTCAAATGTGTGGTGGAGTATGGTTAAGGGTTCTGTTGAACGATGCTACAAAGAATGGCTAACTTGTGAACCAGTGGCTCGGCTTCGGTTGCGTCCTCAGCTGGATCCAACGGCTCAGCACTGGCCACGAACTGAGCGACGTGCCTTGGCAATGTTACTGCAAGCTATTCCGGAAACTATTCGGGATGACGTGGTGGCCTCCAGGAAACTCACGGTTGACCAGGTCTTGTTCAAATTGTTGATCACCTTCCAGCCTGGAGGAGCTAGCGAAAAAACTCGGTTGCTTCAAGCCATCACGGGTGGGGATTGTGGTAACACGGTTCATGCTGTAGTTGATTGGGTCAGGAACTGGCGTAGGAACGTCACCAGAGCCAGCGAATTGGGTTTGACACTCCCGGATTCCTTGGTTTTGGTGGGTGCCTTACAGGGTGCTACGGAATGGCTCAGTCAAAGATCCCCCCAATTGGCCTATCGGTTGAATTTGGTGAGACAACAATTGTCCTTGGATCAACAACCTACTTTTGGGGCTGTTTGGACGTTTGTTGATCATCTTCAAGCTGAAGCCGAGGACCTCCTGAATGCTACAGGTACTGTTGCCATGAATCCCGCAAATTCCCAACAAAACTCTAAGGGGACCACCAATAAAGTGGGTATCAAGGCTTTGCAACAGGGTGCTCATGAAGGGTATGGTAACCCCAAGGGTAACAATGATGGTTCAACAGACAGGAAGGGTTCAGTTCCAAAGGGTGTTCAAGCTGTGAATGCCGATTCGGTCAAGTCCACCAATCCTTGCAAGTTTTGGGGCACTGATGGGGGTTGTCGTAGAGCTGACAAGTGTAAGTTTGTTCACACTGTGCTGACCAGTAAAGAGAACCGATGTTTTGGTTGTTCGGGTACGGGTCACGCAAAAAGGGATTGCCCTCACATGCAACCAAAGGAATCCAAAAAGGTAGCCAAGTCGAAGGTTAAGGGAAGTCCTGACAAGCCTTCTGAAGCTGCTTCTGTTGGGGGGAGTGAAACGGTTGAAGGAAGTGTGAAGGTAGGTGAGAGTAGCTCTTCCTCGGCTCCGGCCGACGACCAAAAGAAAGGCTCCTCAACCCCTCCGGGGGACAGTACTGGAGGAAGTCAGTTGGATGCCTTGTTGAGTGAAGCTGCGCTGCTGATGAAGTCACTGAGACCTAGTTTGAAAATGGTTTCTCTCAAGAAAATGGAACATGGTGAACTGGCGACCGGGCTCCTGGATGGAGGTGCAACAAACGCTCTCAGGGTTGGGTCACCACAGGAACTTCGAAATGCCATTCCTGTCCAGGTGGAGTTGGCCGCTGGTTCCATTGAGCTTTACCAGGACGTGCAAACGGGCACGTTGTTGTCCCACCAACATGTGGAGCCGATTGTCCCTGTCCGGGGACTGATCTCTTTAGGATACCGGGTGAAATGGGACAGCCAAGGATGTGTGATTCTGCATCCGCAGCGAGGACGGATCCGCAGCTGGTTGCGGAATGGGTGCCCAGTTGTCACTGAGGAATGCGCATTGCAACTCATAGCCGACATAGAAAACCAAGAACGGTTGTATCGCATGGGTCCGAAACTGGCTGCAGGGAAGGTCTCAACGCCTGTTCAGGAATGGTGGTCTCAAAGGTTTCCAGATGTTCCCCGAAGAATTTGGGATCACATGGTCGGTCAGGATCTGGGGATGCCAAAGGGCGAGGATTTACCATGGAACCGTAGGAGCCGTAGGAGATTTGACCAAGCTAAAGGGTTGGTTATCCACATGTTTTCAGGAGATGCCCAATCATCCAAAAAATGGACTCAAGGTTGGCCCCCTGGCGTTGAAGTGATCACTGTGGATACCAGCACCAATCCCCTCCAAGATGTTCACCAGGCTGCGGTTTGGGGGTATCTCTGTCACCTTGCTGCAACAAAACCCATTATAGCAGTGATCGGCGGTCCGCCCTGCCGAAGTGTCTCTCGGTTGCGAAATGTTCGCCCTGGTCCTGTTCCTCTTCGAGGTCGATATGAGGACCGGTTTGGGTTGCCTGGCCTGTCAGCTGCAGATCAGCTCAAGGCTGACAGGGATGCTGCTTTGGTTCTCAAGCAACAGGGTCTTTTGTGGATTGCTGAGGAACACCGTGCCTTGGATTCGCCACCGGTGGGGTACTTAATGGAATCCCCCGAAGATCCTAAGGTTGTGTTTGGAGAAGAGGATGCCCCATCATTCTGGAGTTGGCCCGAGGTGATCAGTTTCGCCGAACGATTCGGTTTGGGTACGGTGTCTTTTGATCAAGGGATGTATGGTCATCAACAACGGAAACCCACGACTTGTTTAACCAATCTTCCACTCATGGGTCATTTGCATGGTGCTAGGTGTTCCACGAATATTGGTGAAGGGTTGCATGAAAACCTCCAACAACGCTTCGCTCAAACGGCTAGCTGGTCTTCATGGGCTCCCGGGTTGAAAAAGGCTATTCACACCTCCCTGTTGCTGTTGTGTCACATGCATGGTTTTGGGAACCAAGGTATCAAAAAGGTGTTGGATGTTCAAGGATGGAAACAGCACATTCACCAAGGTCATGTTCCTTACCGCCGAGATTGTAGGGCATGTATCATGGACATGGGGTCAGGAAAACCACACCGTCGGCAAACCGCTGGTGGAACGGCTTCATGGACTATGGCTGTAGATATGGTTCAAATGCCTAGTGGGGTGGATGAAACCACGGGGTACAAAGCCAAGTACATGTTGTTGGCTACGGTTGCGGTCCCCCAATTTGGTGATCAGGCTTCAGGTACTCAAGGTGCTGATGACAAGGGTCAAAAGGGTGAGGGTATCCCCACCGAGCCACCAAATTCGGAAAGTCCCGATGGTCCACCAGTTGATGACTGGGGGGAAGGTCTGGACGAAACTGTGTTTCCACTTGAGCCTCCAGGGGACATGGATGCGGACAAACCTGAGAAGCCTGAGAGTGATCCTGTTATTCCAAAGCCACCCTCCGGGGAACGGCCGGATCTTGGTGTCGAGTCGGATATGTCTCAACTTGTGGATGCATGTTCCGCCTCTCTGCAGGTACAACAGGTGACAATCATTCACCCCATGGAATCCCGTCATGCTAGTCAAGTCGTGCATGGTTTGAACACGGTTTTGACTCGGTTCAAATATATGGGTGTTCATGTGGTTCGTGTACACAGTGACCGTGCCAAAGAATTCCTTTCGCATACTATCCAAAAATGGATAGCTGCTCAGGGTATTGTCCAAACTATGACCAGTGGAGATGACCCAGCTGCCAATGGTCGGGCCGAAAGTGAAGTTCACCAGGTAAAGCGTAGGATTCGGTTTTTGTTGAGCCAGTCTGGTGAACCCTTGTCCCATTGGCCGGTGGCCGCTCGGTATGCTGCTGAACAGAGAATGCGGGTCCAACTCTCAAAGTTGGGTTGCAACGTGTTGCCGATGCTGCCGTTTTTCTCCCAAGTGGCTGTGAAACGTAAACGGTGGCACCAACCTGGTGCATTAGCTCCACCTTTTGTCAGTGCTCGCCTCCTTTGTGCCAGTCACTTGATGTCTTCGGGATGGGTGGTCAGAACAGACCAAGGTCAAGTCATGCATGTGAGAGAAGCTGTCTTGCCCTCTCCTCTTGGAGACGAAGTGGCATTACAGCTCCAGGAACAACCAAGGGGGGAGCTGGTTATGAGTGAAGAACCTCACCCTGCAAAACCACGCATGAGGGTTTACGGTAAACAACCACCCGAAGGTCAGGTTAGGTTTTCCGTTCCTCGTTCCTTGGATGCTCCAAAAGATGGAGCTGCCAGTGTCTTGGGTCCTCCGCTTCGAGGCAGTGCCTTGGATGCTCCGTTGGGGGGAGCGGCTTCATCTTCGTGTGCCTTGGATGCTCCTGCTGGGGCTGTCGGTGACTTGGATGGTGACTCAGATGGGTACTCGCAAAGCACCTTGGATGATGCTGACGTCGGTGCCTTGGATCCGGAAGAGCCTTCCGGGGGGGAGCCTCTTGGTGGAAGTGGTCCAAGTATTTCAAAAATGGTTGAACAATCAGTAGTGCGTAGGGTGAAAACAGGGTTTCTCAAGGATGTGTTGGAGGAGAACCACCAACAAGTGTTGAGCCAAATGGATGAACTATTGAACCAAGTTCCTATGGGTGAACAAGAGGGCGAGACTTACGGGAGTTCATTGGCCAATCTTCAACAAGAAAGAGAAAACCTTGAACACGCCCTAACCGAACTTGAACAACTTGAAAAACGAAACCTGGTCAAACTTTGTAGTACTCAGGTCACTGTGAGCTTGCCCAGTAATGTGCACCTTGGGGAGAATGGTGAGGTGTTACAAACTGTGGTAGTATCTCTGGACGAAGTCAAGAAGGATATTAAGTCATGGGTCCCCGCTATGTTGAGTGAATACCGTAGTTTAACCGAGGAAACCCAAGCCATCGAAAAGGTTAATGTGAACCAATTGGATGATTCGGCTGTGGAGTATGTACCCGGCAAACTGGTTTGTACCGTCAAAGCTGGACCAAATGGAGGCCGTAAGAAATGCCGTGGGGTAATATGCGGTAACCTCTTGGACTCATCGAGTGACCCCTTGCCAGGATCCGCCTACGCTTCAGGAGCTGATGGTCCGTTAATTCGGACTGTGTTGCATCATGGTGTTCAAAGAGGTTGGGGTGCGTCCACGGTGGACATCAAGACCGCCTTTCTGCTGGCTCCTCGGCCTGCTCCGGAATCTGGGCGGGAAACGATAGTGGTGCCTCCTCGCATCTTGGTGTTAGCGGGGGTTTGCAGTCCTACCGAACGTTGGCGGGTGCGGAAAGCACTGTACGGTTTTCAGAGCTCTCCAGCTCGATGGGCTGGGCACAGGGATGGAACGCTCAAGGTCTTTAGGTGGATTCAAGATGGTTGTGGGTTTTACCTCCAAAATACCCCTGAAGTCAACCTATGGCGGATCATGAAACAAAAGTTGAAGGAAGGGATCGATCAGCACACCATGGTACCACAAACCAATGATGAATGTGTAGGCCATTTGGTGGTTTATGTTGATGATTTACTGGTTGTAGGTCCCCAAAGTGTTCGACAGGGTTTCCTCCAACGACTTAGTCAAGAATGGACTACGTCAAAACCAGAACATGTCTCTGAAGGTGAATGGACACGTTTTGCCGGTTTTGAGTTGCGGTGGAGAGGTGACAGTCTCCGGATTGCTCAACCCTCCTACACGAAGGAGTTGTTGGAAAGGTATGAGGTGAAGCATGGCCGCTGGGCCCCCATGCCGAAAATGGAACCACCAACTGAAAATGAGGACATGGATGCCCGCACCATCAAACGAGCCCAGGGTCTGACAGGTGAACTGTTATGGCTGGTGGTCAGGACCCGACCTGACCTAGCTTTCGCAGTAGGACAAATGGGTCGTGGTGTAAGTAAATACCCTAGGTGGGTTTTACAAGTGGGTGAAGCGGTTCTGGAATTTCTGTTCAACACCAGTGATCAGGGTTTGGTTTACTCCCCTTGTTCATGTGACCGTGGTTTTGATGGTCAACTCCCCATACAGCGACATGAGCGGTTGATAGAAACGTATGCTGACATAAGCTTTGCACCCCAGGGTGGTCGAAGTGTGCAGGCTGTCATAGCCATGTATAGTGGGGCTCCCATTCAATGGGAGTCAAGTAGGCAGCCGTTTGCGACCATGTCAACAGCAGAAAGTGAACTGCTAGGATACTGTGAAGCCATGCAGATGTCACAATCTCTTGAAGCTCTGTTGGTTGCCGTTTATGGGGATGGTACCTTTGAGAAACTCATAGCCGGTGATAATACAAGTGCTCTGAGCATTCTGTCAAAACCGGATGGGTCTTGGAGAACGAGGCATCTGAGGCTTAGGTCAAACTGCTTGAAGGAGAAGCTCAATGAACCCAACCCTACATGGCGTATCCACCACCAAAGAGGGTCTGACCTTTGTGCGGATTTCTTAACCAAAGCGGTTACTCCACGTCCCTCATGGATTTGGTTTTGGAAAGTCATGTCCATGGAGCCTGCCCCTACTGAGGTACCAACTGTTGCCACCTTGTCCACTAAGGAAACTAAGGCGCTCAGGTCGTTGCAGATCGCTCGTGCTGGAGCTCTGGCGGCAGTGTTTGGGGAACTATGTGGTCAACAATGGCCGCCGCAGCTGAGCACCCTCTGGCATGCGCTGCTACTGGTCGCAATCGCTTTCTTGACACACTTTGCCGCGGGCGGCGCTGCAGTGGGTGATTTCGGCGAGGTGGTGTGTACAAAGCCGAGTGAGTGTACAGAATCGAGTGTAGGTGCAAAGCCGAATTCTTGGACAAAGGCTGGTGTAAGCCGAGATGTGTACAGCAAGGTCCAAGCACTAACGTGTGCCTTGACCAGTACGGCCTGTGCTAGTAAACAGGGCCCTGTACAGAGCCAAGAACCTGTTTGTGAACAGTTTGGGAGGTGGGAGGAAGAAACCAAAAGAGCCACTGGCCAACAAGAAAATCAAAAGAAAAATCAAAATGAGAGACAAGCAAAGGGGCTGAGGGCCAAAGAAAGGAAATCCAGTCCCGTGGGTCATAACATGGTGTGTGTGGGTGGTCTCCCTCAAGAGTGTTTTGGGAAAGGACCAGAACCCACCGTTTTTGGGGAAGGGATGAGTTTTTGTCAGCGTGGGCCAACCTATTGTTTTGGGGAAACCACCAAGGGTTTCGGAGAAGGGGAGGAATCGTCTGGAGTTGGTGTTGGAAATGAGAGTGACCGCTGTCACCCTGTCAACCACTGCCCAACGGGCTGCCCGGGCGCGTCTCTTTTGCCGATGCCATGTCTGAAAGCGCTGAGGATACCAACCTTTGCTCCTAGCGGTGCTGCTGACTTCACCGAGATGGAGAATTTCCCAGCGTTCCAAACCGCACCTAGCGGCAGCAAGGACCGGTGGAGAAGAGCAGAGTGGGGGAGCAAGATGTTGCTTGTCCGTGAGCATCCCACTGTGCGGGTCAACAAGTTCCACCCCTTGCACAAGACCAACCCGGTGGATACCACTTGCTTGGGCGATGCTCGTTGCACCATTGCCTTTGATGTGGAAACTGGTGAGAAAATGGTGTGGAAAGATGATTGGAAGTGCCGTCCGGAAAGGGGCACCTCCCGTTGGATGGGCTTCACCATCTTTGTGATGAATGAGGACGAGGCCGCTAACCCAGGCTACATGGCCACCCAATTGCTGACCAGGGAGTCCAAGCCATCGTTTCGACTGAGGATGATGGAAGCAGCGGCTGCAGCCTCTTCAAAAGTAGCTGCCTCAGGATCCGCTGCTGTCGAGGTGGAAGCGATGACTGGGAAGGCACTTCCTCTGCCTCTTCAAGATGTTGGAGGTGGCGTGAGGAAGGCACCTCCTCCTCCATGGATTGGTGCTGCAGTCGATGTGGAACGAGGAGCAGCAATGTCGGCGATGATGCCGCCACCAGTCCCAATGGTGGTCAACTACGGATACCTTGATATGGGACGCCGTGATGCTGGTTTCCCTCTGCAGCAGCCGCTGCAATGGGATGTGATGGCCAATGTTGGGCGTCAGCAGCTGGTGGACGGAAGTAGTGAATGCTACCCTGATGAGCTGCGACCTCCTCGAGATTTGTGTCTGCTTGGGGCTATGCCGACCTCGAGACCTATGATGCCTTCATCCCAAGGAATGCATGGGTTGGACGGATCTATGGGACCACCTTCTGTCCATTCTGGAACTATGGTGCAGGGCCAGATCGGTTCTCCAGCACCTTCGGATGGGCCTGTGGTGGTGCAGCGCCAACCACCTGCTGCAATTGCCCGTGGACAAGCTGCTATGGCGTCGACTCCGAAGACGTTTTCGCCGTGCACTACTGAGTGGCCGAGGCAGCAGTAAGTTTTTCCCGGAAAAACGGGGGAGTGCGGAACTGTAAGTAAAGGCAGCTGCATCCACCGTTTCAATTTTGAAAGCTGATGTGAAGTACTGCAGAAGGGTAGCAGTATACCACATGTGACATCCAAAGGATGGGTTGTTGAAAGCCACACCCGAAACCAGAGGGGTTGTGGTTCAAAGAGCCGACTGCCACAAACGTGTGGCTCAAGATGCACAAGCTGGAAAAGTTGCTGCCCCGGCTTGTTCTCTGCGTCTCGGCAGCACCGCGGAAACAATGCCTACCTATATACTGTACATGCAGACCTTTTCAATCACAAAGGATCTGCTCAGAGCACTGTTTCGCAAGTCGCCCTGTGGGGGAAGCAAGCGTTCTCACGCACCTTCTTCGTCGCCAAAATCGGCGAGCAACTGGCGTGATGAAAGTGAAAACTGTCTCAAATATTCTTTGGTTCAGCTCTGGCAACACTTTCCGCTACAGTCGTCTGTACTACAATCACAACATTTGTGGTGGTGGCGGCCGTGGTGGCCACTTCTCGCATTGTCTGTGCTGTTGGTCTCTGCAGCTCCAGCGCTCAATGCAAGGATGATGAGGCAAGCAAAAAAACGGATTGGCGCCATGGAAATTTCCGACACCCCTGAGCTAAAAAGCGTGCCCCAGTGGTTTGAGCAAAAGATGCTGAAAAATGACACAGACTTCCAAACTAAAACAAAAGAGCTAATTTCTGTAGCTTTCCAACTGAGAATGTCAAAGATGCTCAAACTGAAACAAATTCCAAGTTCAAGCTCTCCAAGAACATGTGGCTTCAAACCTCCAACTGACATGTTCCCAACAGCTGAGCGCCCCGACAACAGGATGCAGAAGAGATTGATGACAAAGCCAAGGCGAGGAAGGGCAAAGGAACATGGAGCAATCCCAGCCAATGACCCAGTCAAACACAAATTCGTGGGGAGAAACAAATGAAGGGCAAAACAAAACCACGAAACCAAAGAGCACATCAAATCAACCATATCATGGTTGCATCATGGCTTTCTAAAAGCACTAAATCTTTAAAAGTTCATGCCTCATCAACAATCTTGGGTAATCAGTTAATTTGTAATATTGTTGGTTCAACTTTTCTGCAATCTCTTGCACAACATAATAACCATTCAGCCAGTGGGAAGTTCTTTCTTTCTCTGTAATTTCTTTCTTTCTCATTATCTTTACTTTGTCTCCCACCTCTAATGTTGGGTATATGTTTTTCTTTCTTTGCCTTTGATGCTACATTAATCATTGCCCTAAATTCATTTTTCTCTTTCCTTGCTTGATTAGGTGTCATACCTGTAGCGGAGTGGTTCATCTTATCATTGTATGTCAGCATAATTTCTAAATTGTAATCAACCCATTGTATGTTTGCCTTTCCCTTTTTTTCATCAGCGTCCACTCTTTTCAAAAGCATATCCTTGTAGGTGCGTATAAAACGCTCAGCAAAAGCGGGATGACCTCTTGTCCTATGTAAGGTTATACCTTCACCTTCCACATAATCCTTAAAGTCTTCACCTGCTATTGCTCTCTCATCATCTGTATAAATCATTTTAGGCTTCTTACCCATTTTCCCTAATGCCTCTTTAGTTGCTTCAAGGACATCCTCCGCATTTTTAGTTTTGATTGGAACAACAACGGCATACTTGCTTAAAACATCAATGCGCACTAACCCACCTCTGAATGTTTGTTCCTCATCAAAATCGTAATAACCCATAAAGAACAAATCAAGAAAACTCAAACAACCTAAACAATACAATAGATTATAAAAAAGACTATAGAGAAACAAGGGGAAAAACAAGAAACCAAAACCAGTGAATCTCCCTTGTCTCAAAATCATGCAAACGCCCCTTTTTGCCATGGGACGCTTGAGCCAGGTAAATTACGTTAGGCTACTATGACCAACCCTGCTGGATTAAAAGAGGGGGTCAATTCCTAATCTATTTACATGGCTACACCTACAACTAACGCATCTAGTTGGAGGTTGCGTGGTGATTAAGATGACTGTACAATCTATTGGAGTGTTGGTCTAATAGCTACAGCATGGAGTGAACTAATACTAGTATATACAGTGGTGGTATAGGGGTCGTAATATTTCTACTCCCCCCTACCCGGTCTAACGCTGGCAACTAGTATACAGGTTAGGGCGCTAGGTAGCTGCCCCTCCCCTGGGAGTTCACTACCTAAATCTACTCGGATGCCAAGCAAGCGCAGTGCCGGGGCCCACTTTTGGGGTGGCAACGCCTTAGTAAAAATATCTGCGGCCTGACTGTCGGTTTGACAGTATTCGAGTTCGGCTGAGTCTTCGCGGAAGACTTCGGAAAGGCCAGATAAGTTTACTTTATGGGTGCGAGTGATGTGCCTAAGCTTAGGGGAATAACCTTTACGCACTACCAGGATGGTAGCTTGGTTATCTTCTAAAACCTTAAGCGTCACTGTGCGCCCTCGGAGAAGCTCCCAGAGTTGCAGGGCCGGCAGGCCTTCTTGATAAAGGGAATAAGCCAAGGAAACCACCTCTGATTCTGTGGTAGAACGGGATGTGGATGTTTGGCGTTTGCTAACCCACGCAAGAGAGAAGAAGGAGTTAGGCCCATATAGAACTAAATACCCACCGGACGTGGATTTTCCACTAAGACGATCACCGGCGAAATCGGCGTCAACGTATAAACGTAACTCAAGATCTTCGGGATTATCTTTGATGGTACCCACTAGACGGTATTGGGGTGTAGAGTCTATATATTGGATGAGTCTTAACAACCTCTTATCGTCCCCCCTGGACCAAGACTGCACTTTAGTGGCTAAATCATTGATGGGTTTTATAATGTCAGGTCTGGACAGTCGACCAAGCCACAACGCCTTCATAAGAATGCGGCATGCATTGGGTGCCAGTTCACCTTTAGCCTCTTCATCTTCAACAGAGACAGAACCATCAGGTACAAAAGGAGTGGCAGCATGCTTCAAACTTTTGGTGTTGGTGATGGACTTGTAAAGATCAACTGTTTGGTGTGCGTAATCTAGCATGTCAAAGACTAAGGCTTCTTGTGCGCGAAACGCAGCACATTCCTCGGAACCCTCGGTTTTGGACAATGGCATTACTAGATGATTGCGACCTAAAATTCGGTATATTGGTTCAGGTGGTTCTATATCCACAACGGATGCCAGCTTCGCCCAAAAGGCTTCATGTTGGTCAGTGGGACCAGCAAGCGTGAGATCATCTACATAGGTGGAAAGTAACAACTTAGTATCTGGGAAAAAGAAGTTACCAGGGTATTCAGGTACCTCTTGGCCACCTAGGTTGCGGATAATTTTCTTGAGGTGCTGCTCCCAAAGGCCACCGGCATCAGGATGACCGTATAGGGCTTTAACTAGGAGGACTACGGGTTTAACAAACTTATCTCGCCAATGTTTTGGTCTTAGCTCAGGCGGGAGTTCTATCCAGGTCTTATATTTTGAAGACAGGAGTGCTTGAACGTAAGCCTTAACAGCATCAGCTGCGGATGAGCTATTACCTGGCAGGGAACCGTATGCTAAACAGGCATTTAAACCTTGGACCGAAGTCGGGTTTGCCCCTAGCTCCTGGTAAACCGCTGCGGCACCGTGTTCATCCTTTGCGCAATCCCCTCGGTAGACGATCCTACCCTTCATCTTTTGCAGATGTTGCGCAAGTTCAAAGAACTTTATGGATGCTATCGTCATGAGTTGTCCGAAATGAACGGACACTCCGGTGCGCTTGGCCTCGGCACGAACATCCTCCTTCTCCCGAACGGAATCAAGTGACCACGTTCCCGCCTTGATGAGTCCCTCGGCCTCGGCCTTCACAGCATCAAGGGCTTGGGGGTTGGATAACATCTCGGCCCTAGAAAGCAACTTAGTTACCATGGCTTGAACCTCTTTGGAGGGTTCATTGCTATCTTCATGTCCGAAGGCTTGGGATAACAAACGCTCATGGTCAAGAAGCTCCGACACTAAGCAGTTTACTGTTGGATCTGTTTCAATGGCAACTGCAAGATCCTCAAAACCAGCTAGTGGGGAAACATGTTTGAGATGTTGTTCAACTTCGCGGTGCTCTTGGGGTTCGGTTGAAAGTGGAGTGCATGGCATTGCGGGAGCATGTTGTTGAGAACACTTAGCAGGGTACAGCGCTTGGGTAATCAAAAATGCCATCTCTGGGGGATACATAGCTGATCGCGCTGTTTCCGAACCTTCACACTTTTCATGTGGTTGTTCACAACTGCACTTTTTATTTTTAAAAACATCAACTACTCTTTGGGAAGTGGTTCCGACTCTCCAAGGCTTTTTGATGGGAACACCCTTCTTGGATTTAAGACCTACTGCACAACCATCGAAATCAACTTCCATAAACTCAGGGTGAGAATTAAAGAATGCTACGACATCTGGTCTCTTCCAGCCAGTTGAGGGACGTGGCCATTCAAAAGAAACAGTGCCTCCTAGTTTCAACACTAATTCTGCCCTTTTGGAAAAGCTTTTGAAAAGTCGTTTCGATTCTCGGAGTTGGAGCGCTAATCTTTTCATGTAAGCAGCTCCTCCCCTCCGTCTATTGATATACTGCCAAGGTGAACCAGACGTGCATGGTATGGACGACCAAAGGTTAGGTGGTGCATCTTTTGCGGCTTCACCTATTTGATAATCAAGTTGGGAACATTGATTCTCATCACTTAGGTCTATCCTTTCCTTGCATAACCCAATGTGATTTATGTTACATTGCTCACTTGTCAACCCAAGCTGTGAGTTGAGGGAACATGCAAACTCAATCAGTGTTGATCTCTCATTGGATCTCTGGCTTTTCTTCAAGGCACGTCGTTTACGACGGTTATTGTTATTCTTAGGAGGCTGATTAATGGCGGGGCATGCAGGCACGGGCTGTGCACCGAACACTGGCAAGAAATCCCTACATAACTCAGCGCAACTGGGAGCAGTCTGGGGCAAAGTGGCAGCACCAGAGACACTATAAGGAACAGCAATT